AACATGATGGAGACGGAGCTGAAGCCGCCGGGCCCGCAGCAAGCTTCGGGGGGGCGGCGGCGGCGGCGGAGGCAACACCACGGCTGCAGCGACCGGCGGCAACCAGAAGAACAGCCCGGACCGCGTCAAGAGGCCCATGAACGCCTTCATGGTGTGGTCCCGGGGGCAGCGGCGTAAGATGGCCCAGGAGAACCCCAAGATGCACAACTCGGAGATCAGCAAGCGCCTGGGAGCCGAGTGGAAACTTTTGTCGGAGACCGAGAAACGGCCGTTCATCGACGAGGCCAAGCGGCTGCGCGCTCTGCACATGAAGGAGCACCCGGATTATAAATACCGGCCGCGGCGGAAAACCAAGACGCTCATGAAGAAGGATAAGTACACGCTTCCCGGAGGGCTGCTGGCCCCGGGCGGGAACAGCATGGCGAGCGGGGTTGGGGTGGGCGCCGGCCTGGGTGCGGGTGTGAACCAGCGCATGGACAGCTACGCTCACATGAACGGCTGGAGCAACGGCAGCTATAGCATGATGCAGGAGCAGCTGGGCTACCCGCAGCACCCGGGCCTCAACGCGCACGGCGCGGCGCAGATGCAGCCCATGCACCGCTACGACGTCAGCGCCCTGCAGTACAACTCCATGACCAGCTCGCAGACCTACATGAACGGCTCGCCCACGTACAGCATGTCCTACTCGCAGCAGGGCACCCCCGGCATGGCGCTGGGTTCCATGGGCTCGGTGGTCAAGTCCGAGGCCAGCTCCAGCCCCCCCGTGGTCACCTCTTCCTCCCACTCCAGGGCGCCCTGCCAGGCCGGGGACCTCCGGGACATGATCAGCATGTACCTCCCCGGCGCCGAGGTGCCGGAGCCCGCTGCTCCCAGTAGACTGCACATGGCCCAGCATTACCAGAGCGGCCCGGTGCCCGGCACGGCCATTAACGGCACACTGCCCCTGTCGCACATGTGAGGACCGGACCGCGAACTGAGAAGGGGAGAGAGATTTTCAAAGAGAAACAAGGGAATTGGGAGGGGTGCAAAAGAGGAGAGTAAGGAAAATCTAATATGCTCAAAGGAAAAAAAAATCTGATTGCCCGCAGCAAAGTGACAGCTGCGGCTAAAAGACCACCAATCCCATCCAAATTAACGCAAAAACCGTGATGCCGACTAGAAAACTTTTATGAGAGATCTTGGGACTTCTTTTTGGGGGACTATTTTTGTACAGAGAAAACCTGAGGGCGGCGGGGAGGGTGGGGGAATCGGACCATGTATAGATCTGGAGAAAGAAACTACGCAAAACTTTTTTTTTTAAAGTTCTAGTGGTACGTTAGGCGCTTCGCAGGGAGTTTGCAACAGTCTTTACCAGTAATATTTAGAGCTAGACTCCGAGCGACGAAAAAAAAAGTTTTAATATTTGCAAGCAACTTTTGTACAGTATTTATCGAGATAAACATGGCAATCAAATGTCCATTGTTTATAAGCTGAGAATTTGCCAATATTTTTCGAGGAAAGGGTTGTTGCTGGGTTTTGATTCTGCAGCGTAAAATTAGGACCGTTACAAACAAGGAAGAAAGGAATTTATTCGGATTTGAACATTTTAGTTCTAAAATTGTGCAAAAGGAAAACTTGAGAACAAGTATTGGCAAGACTATTTTCTAGGTCTTGTTTAAAAGGGCAAAATTCTAGATTGTACTAAATTTTAACTTACTGTTAAAGGCAAAAATGTCCATGCAGGTTGATATCGTTAATTTATAAAAGCTTTTGTTCAATCCCACCTTTCCATTTTGTTCGGATAAAAGAATATGGAATTACTGTGTTTGGAATATTTTCTTATGGTTTGTAATATTTCTGTAAATTTATTGTGATATTTTAAGGTTTTTTTTCCCCTTTTATTTTCCGTAGTTGTACTTTAAAAGATTCGGGTCTGTTATTGAAATCAGGCTGCCGAGAATCCATGTATATATTTGAACTAATACCATCCTTATAACAGCTACATTTTCAACTTAAGTTTTTACTCCATTATGCACAGTTTGAGATAAATAAATTTTTGAAATATGGACACTGAAATTATGCCTGAGTCTTTCATTTCTTTGGCTAGAAATGCTTAAACATAACTTCTTGGGGAATTAGAATACCATGTTGAGCCACCAGGCTTGACGTTACCAGCAATGTCTGTTAGCATTAACCGCAGAAGAAAGAGATGGCTGGCTGATTAATAACGGGAAACTGAAACGTGCTGTCATTTCTAAAATAGAAACTAGAGGCATATATTGTAAGTCCACCCCCTCTTTTCCCAAGCAGCGTGAATAAGCGCGATGTGGGCTTAAGCTAGCTTGTACCACTTGTTGCCAGAAGGAGTCGATTCTAAAATTTTCATGTAGCTTAGCAGATGGGGTATTGAGCCAAATCAGAGCCAGGTTGGCTGGGTTTGTTTTCATTTTCTTTACAACACAATGGCCCTTTGAAATGTGGTTTATACGGGAAAATGATGCTTCTTGTATCGGAATAATTACAAAGTAGACGCGGAGTGTTCTGCCGGGTAGGTGCTTGGGTGACTCCATCCCTGCTATTGTGTGAGGAAACAAGTGGTTTTCTGTCTTTGTTTCCCGAGTTCATAAACTTTCTCCTCTACGTTTTCCTGTTTGGGGCGAGGGAAAAGCAAAGACCGCCTTGCAAAATTCCCTTACTTATCATGGACTTTTTATTTATTTCCCCCTTTCTCCCCCCACCCCCACTCCGGATTCCACTTCTTAATTTGGCAGCGCGGGTCCAAGACTGTAGTCCCAAATCGGATAATCTCTGCAGCTGGCTACACGCAAAAGAGAAGCCAGGCAACAGACATATTACAGAAGAAAGCTCTCGACTCCGAGGTAGATATTTCGCTTTGTGCGCTCTGATCACATTTGGACATGATTGTGCTTTTGATCTGTTAACTGTTTTACTACAGTAATAGAGAGACGGGGAGGAGAGAGGGAGGGGAAACGAGATTGGATTTGCTGTTTTCTTTCGCCCCAGGAAAAGTAAAGAGAGGCTGCCTGGCCACGTCCTCGGCTGGAGCGGAAAAGTTGGGAACCGCCGTGGTCTTTAGGCTAGCCAGCAGGTTCTGGCGCATCCGAGGCCGCTGGCGGGCTCGCCCCTCCCTGCCCCCATTTCCTCTCATCTATCCAAAGGCACCAAGAACCAGCAATCGAGCGTCCTTAGGAGTTAAACATTGCTTCTGTTTCTAGAGAGGCGGCTCGAGGCACCTCTGCTAAAGTTAGAATCCTGCGGCGCTTTCTGTCCTGCAGCCGGATACCGGCCTTAGCCGGTTCTGCCAGCCACTAGGCCTATGTCTTTTATTTTTTGAGGAGCTGCTGATGTTCTGTGGAGGACTATGAAGGTGTCGTTTTCTGTGTTTATATTTCTTCTCGATCGCTTCATTTCAGGTGTACAGTGGGTAGTTTTCTTTATTTTCGTTTTTACGGTTATGTTGTATGGGGAAGGGACATTTATTCAGTTTCCAATCCAAGCTAGGCATTTTCTCCTCTAATTAATGCAGAGACTCTGAAAGAATTTCTCTGGGCCTGGCCAGCCATTGTGATGCATATAGGATTATTCACGTGGTAATGAGCACGTTCGACAGTTCTTGCTCACACATAGGAATAAAAGAAACTTTGAATAAAGAACCAAACGCTTGTGCTGGGGAACAGGAGAGGCTATTCCCGGAATTCGAGCCAATGGACAGTATAGAATGTATATATTTGAAAATAAATATATTTTAGGGAGATATATATATATATATATATATATACAGTTTACAGTAATTGACCCGACTCAATCTCCCAGTTTAAAGGAACAAGAAAAAGGCTCAGTGGATCTGACCCAAGCCGAACATTGTGGGGAGATGCTCAGGTTCAAATATTTCGCAAAACAGAAGAGCACTTTTGAGAGTTAAAATCATTTAAACAATTATTACTCTGAAAAAAAAAGGGGGGGGGGAAGCCCCATATCTCCAAACCAAATAGTTTAAAAGTAGAGGTCACCGTATTTTGTTTGCAAGTATAGAAGTTTTTGATAAACTGCAGCTGAAGAAAAAGACTCCTTTTCTTTTGCATTATCCATTTAATTGGGTAAAACAATTCCCAAGATGTATAATGTCATACCTAGGTTAATATTTATGAGCAAATAATTTTTAAGAATAATTTCATTTTTAAGAAAAGGGATAAGACATGAATCGGCCCAGGCAGGGATGGCTTGCTTCCGTTACTGGATGCTCATGTCCTAGGGATATTATCCTGGTCAAAGAGAGTTAATTTCCAGTCAAGAGGGTGAATTTAAATATTGCTTTGACTTTATACACAGACTAGAAGTGTGTAACAGATGAGCATATAATCTGTTCTTGCTACATTTTTTTCTCCCACCCCCGCCCCCTCCATATCTTAAAGAGTGTTAAAATATTTTGCTGAGCGGGAGTAGATTAACAAGGTTCCTTTGCCAATGCCGGAAAGCTGGTATCACAGCCTATCCCAGGGGAAAATGGCTCACATTAACCACTAAATGAATATTTGACAAGAGCTCATTCGGAGGTATTATTACTATAAATGTGTCCCTACTGGACTTTTCAAGGTCAAAGAGCAATGCTTCAATTAATTATTTAGACTGCTAGTAGATTTGGATGTAATAGCTGTACTTATTTCTGGAAGCGACACATTCTTGCAGTGGGAAAATCTCCCGAGACTGCCCTTCAGCAGCATCTCAGATGGAAAGGTGTGGGAAACACTGGCACTCCAAGGCTGACTTTTTTCATGAAACATTTTCCTGGTTCAAGGGAAAGAATTGCATTTTTTTAAAATCCCGTTTCAGGGACTATTTTTAGTTCAAAAGGAAAAACTACATAATAATTTATGTGAATTTCTTCACCATGTCTGGCAAGATCTTTTAGAGTTTGTGATGTTGGGGAGGAACTGGATGGTGTTTTATACAACCTCTGCCTTGTCTAAATAACGAAGTCACAGGATTTCATAGGCCCTGCCAGGCTTGACCTTAGGGTAGGGTACATACTCTTGTTTTTGGCAATAAAAGCAAATGTTTGACATGGAAGGCACCAGGCTGAGTGTTCTGAGTTCTAGTATGGCAGAGTAAATTGGGGTGCAAGGACCCCCTTCCCCTGTTAATACCAACCGGAGAAGGGGGGGGGGGACGAGGCATTTCTGCCATGTCACAGGGTCCTCCACGACCTTAGGTAGACGGTAATCTGGTAATCGAATGATTCGGAGAGTAAGATTCCTCTACAGTAATATAAATTGAATGAATAAGAGATAAGCTGGGGGGGGGCAGTAATTACAGCCCAATTCATTCAGCTTTTCAGAACTTTTGTAGGTGCTCCATTGACTGGCTTTGAGCTACCAGTTTTCTCACATTGAAAGGAGTTGATCAGCGCCTGGGGGGTGGGGGGCAAGGACCACTACTAAACTGCTTGGTGATGGGGTCTTCATTTAGAACCATTACCAGAGCGAAATTAAATCGTGCCTTTGTGTGCACGAGGTTTTACTTTTCAACTGCTCTGAGACTGAGGTCTGCCGGTGGACTGACTGTGGCTTGATCAACTACTAGTTGGCATCTCTTTAGTCTATTTATCTATTTATTTTATGTTGTGATTGAAAGCACTTCCTCTCTGAAACTCCCTTCCCCCATTTCTTGCTTTCGAAAAGTTTTGAAAAGTAGGCCTTCATATTTTTTTCTTCCTGGGATTTCTTTTGCGTGGAACCCCATTAGCCAGGACCCCAGTTTCTAGTTCTCCCACACCCCCCCCCACTCCACTGTTACTTTAAAACAATTTGCATCTCGGTGGGTTTTTTTTTTTTTTTGCTTTGTTTTTGTTTGTTTTCTGCTGCTTTTCCTCATACTTGGAGCAGAGACTTCCTTTCAGGGTCCACCTGGGCCTGGGTTTGGGAATTGGCTTCATACTCTTCGCTTCCTTTTTTGACCTGACTTGAAAGATGTCTGCCTGCCTCTCCCTAGGGACCCTGTCTAAGAGACGGATTCCTTAAAGACGGGAGAACCTCTGTCCTCTACTGTGAGAGTCTGGATAATGTCCAAAGGCCTGTACACGGCCTCTGGAAATTTAAAATAAGCTCCACAGAGCTTTGCAAAGACAGGGAGATGGCTCAAGCTGCAGGACTACTTTGACGTCTTTCATAGTTATTTTCTATTAAAAACTTTACCGGAAATGTGCCGGTGACAGCAGCCGGGAGCCTCCTCTCTTCTAGGGATGCTAGCCAGCTTTAGTGTTGTTCTTCTCCGCGAGGATGTTTTCCTTCTGTGGCCTTTAGAAAATAATGGACGACTCGACTTTCTTGTTTTGACTAAAGAGACTTCTCTTGGGGAGTACTCAGGTAAGCTGGGATTTCTTGAGTAGGAGCCCTCTTTCTGTGTGCGGTTCCGGATGACTTGTATTTTATATTTTGGTAGAATGGGACTAGTTCTGACTTCCTGGGCACTGCTCTCAGTTTCTCTCCAGAAGCAAGCGGTAAATCTCTCATCTGAGGGACACAGAGACTTACTTGCGGCTGCTGGGCTAGCGTTCAGGCTGGAGGGAGTTTTCTTAGTTGGCAGGCAGCTCAGGTGATCCAAAGTTCGGAGGGGCCATTCGTTTTATGACCCTATCTGAGGTTCTATACTCAGTCAAGTGAGCACGGAGGTATAAAGATTTTGGCGCTTTGAACTTCCTTTGCCTTTCTAGGCCCAGGTTCGGCAGGATTGAGTTGAGAGCTCCCCAGCCTCCTACAGGCCGCCTGAGAGGAAGGGACTTCAGGGTCCAGGCCTAAAGCCTTGGCTTGGGCTGGGGCAATCCTAACCCGTGGCTGACCTGGGTTGGGCAGCTCCTGACATCACCGCGGCCAGACGCCCCCCATCTCCAGAGACCCCACCCCAATAAAATGCTCAGGGGTTCCCAGTCTCTCTGCCCTCCTGCAGTCCTGCGCCCAGCGTCTACACTGTGTCGCTGCTACAGAGTCCCCTGCATCCTCCTGCGCGGGAGCCTGAACCCTCTCTGTATGTTTACCTCCTGGCCCCAGAGAT